GAAGGTGGAATTATGGATTATTTTCACTTCCTACATTTATGCATTGCTCGAATATTTTTTGTGATTAACGTGTTATTTTTACAATCGAATACTTCTTCAGGAAAGGAGGAAAAGACTTGCAATAGGGAAACCAATTTGGAGTCCGTTCCTGAAAGCAGGACAGTGAGGACCTGCGCTGTGGGGTGGGGGAAGGGATGGGAGTAGGCGGTGGCCTGGAGCTGCTCTGAAGGGAAGAACACAGGACTGGGCGCTGGCCGAGGAAGAGGGCAGACCGGGCTTGACTGGGATTCCGGCCGGAGTTACTGGATGGAGGGGGTGCATCAGTGGAAGATGGAGGTTACAAGAAAAGTGAAGGGATCCATGGGTGTGACTCAGGAGGGGACTTCAGTCTGGGGCATGTGGAGTGTGACCTGCTTGTGAGGCAGGCTGTGGAGGTGTGTACACACCGATCTGAAGCTAAGGAGGGGTCCTTAGGTTTGGGAGTCACCGAGTGGGTGTCCGTGGGCATGGAAGAGCTCTTGTGTGAAACGGGAGGACCAATTTTCACAGTGTGGGTGGAGCTAGAGGCCCAGGCAGAAGAAGGGGAATGTGAAGAACAGCCAGAGGTTTTGAAGAACTGGGAGAGACCTAGGAGTGTGTGTCCAGAGCCAAGGGAGGAGAAAGGTTGAAGACAGTGGGAGCTGTGGCCAAGCTCACCTCTGGTGGAGGAGGAGCTGGAGCAGGGTGGGGGTTGGGGGTGGGGGGCCTCCTGGGGAAGGTTTGGAGGTGATAAAGGCCAGGGGAGGGACCTGATCCTTCAGGTCTGAGCAGGAGGGAGGGAGTGGGGCCTCCAGCACAGGTAGAGCCAGGAGGGGGTGGCTGAGGCTGGGTTAGTTTGGTTTTTAATTGTGATAAAATACTGTGTACATGACATAAAATCTTTTCATTGTAACCAGATTTTAGTGCACAGTTCAGTGGCCTTAGCTGCATTCACCGTGCTGCGCAGCTGTCACCAGGCTGCAGATGGCCTCGAGGTGGGAGGGTCTCCTGGTACAGTCAGACACCTTCCTCTGCTCACGGGGGCCA